GAGAAGACCAAGTTCATGCTATCGGCCATAAAGCTAAGAAAGGCTTTCGGAAAAAATGCCCACGTTAGTACACTTGGTTGACCTTTGCGTTCACCACTCGAGGTCCCAGATCTTTGTGATGTCCTTAGTTAGTTGGGCATACCATTCTCATGTTCCCAGAAAGATGGCATATTAAGTGATATGCTTAACACATCTTGGACTGCTGCTTTCTAGATTGATCTTTAGCTTCGAAGGCAGATCCTTTCTCCTGTTCACTGAAAGCCAGAATTAGTGTCTTTTGATTAGGTATCACATTCGGTCAAATGGCACATTCGGAAGGTGTGAAATTGGCCGGTGTGAAGTTTCCCTTTGGTGAGGTGATATCGATTGCTTGAGTAATGGTAAGCGGGCTAGTCCCCAAAAATGCTCGTTCCTTTGTTGTTGGGGCTTACAATTCGCGCTTGGGACTCGCGGTCGAGCGTTCTTCGGCTTCGGACGTCGATCGATCTATCACTCGATCCCTCCGTTCGGTACGGCTAGTATCCTTCGCTCGCCTTGACCTTAAAGTAGGCTACGATCTAAAAGACCTCCTTTCCTTCGCTAGGCGTAGTGCGGTAGCTCTTGGGGATAAGAAGAGGCCAAGTCGATGAACGAATTTTCTCTCTTATGTTCTGAAGGAGTGAGTGAACGGTGCAAGCGGGGCAAGATCAAGTGTTGCGGTTTGATGAATCGGAGGAAAGATTGCCTGCTCTTTCGTCACGGCCATCAAGCTAGCAAGAAGACTACTTCCCGCCCTACTCTCTATTGAATAAGAAGACAAGAAAGAAGAGGAAGAGAGATCTTCCCCTCAGAAACCTATAGCTGAACTATTTGCTTCTCACATTTCAAATGCGACGGCCAACTCCTCTCCCTTTGTTCGAGCGTATACTAACCTCTCCCACCCTTAGTTTAGGGCGAGCTTTTTACAACTATCTATCTCCTCCGTAGTCGTTGATTCCATCTCTGCTTATTCGTCGACTTCTTGAAGCTACTCTCTTGTAGTATCGGTCGTTTATAAAGTTTGAGTTCTTTTTTCAATCTCTTTTTGTAAGCTGACTTGGAAGTTGTTCTTTCAGTTGAATAAGAAAGAGAAATTTCTTAGGTCTGATCGTCGAAAGAGCATGCCACTATGCTTGACACATGCTCTTCGATGTGGGATTTAGCTCCTAGCTTGAAGCTACTTTCTTACTCATCGGTACAAGAATCCGCTCCTAGAGAATGAGTCTGTTACAGAAGATTCCATAGCAGTAGTTTCATTCCTATTTATTCTATGGTAAGAAGCAAATTCCCTAGTCGAAGAAGTATGACCACAATCGGATTGAGAGACGGAATAAGTTGTTAAAGAAGAAGTTGCTCCCGTAAGCGGTGCAAGAGTAAGCACCGGTACTCTTGCTAGAGATTTTTCTAGTGTTCAATCATCGGTGCTCTCTTTCCTGTCTCGCCCACGAGTGTAGTTGATTTAAGAGCCCGGGAACTACTTCCTAACTACGGGGATCTTTTTTCGGGCCTCTCATTTTGTCTTGCTCTGCGGCTCGGGAGACGAGTGCGGCCCGTAGTTAGTTCATTCAACGGAGAGGGAAAGCGAGAATTCACATATTACCGGAGGTCGTGTAAAAACTCAAAAAGAGAAGATTTTAGGGAAGAATCGATCGAAATGAATCTCGGTGATCTGTACGATCAAGACTTTTTAGTCGAATGAAGCGAGGCGGGGATGAGAGGCATTCGAAACCGGTGAGAAAATTAGGGGATCGAAGGGTGATATACGGGAAAAACAAGGGATGGATCATCGACTGGTCTTTCAAAGCCCAGATATTCAAAAACATGGTTCCGGCGCAGCTACCCGCTGGCATCTGGTTCAAAATGCTGCTTCCTCTCCCAGTCAGTGGAGTAGACAGACCGTGTCGCGCTTGGGAATCACTTCTTCACGGATAGCTTCATTGCTTTGCCTTATATTTCCGAAGGGGGTGAAGGTTAGGAAAGCAGGAAATGGCAATAAAGAAAAGTAATCAGGAGAGGAATCGGGTGACGAAGGAAAGTCAGAAGGGAAGGCATACCCCTTAAGTCCCACATATCCTTCTCGAACAGCGCTTAGGCATGAGGTTACCTTTCTAACTGGGGATGATTGAACAGCGGGTTCACAGTTGCCTTTAAAACTCCAACAGCGTTTACTCTTTCACCAGTTACTTTTACACGCGTCTACTGGTTGAGGTGACGGAGTTCACAGCCCTACTCGTAGTTCTCAATCGGATGCTTCCTTAACAACTATCTTTAGAATGTCCTCTCTCTCTTCGACTAGAGCCAAGACGTTTCCTTCGAGCTGCTTGACGGAAAAAGACTATGAGAGGTCGACAAAAAGATTGGCGCGACTTCGTTGATGAATGCGAACCTCGGTCCTAATCGAGTGGATCCCAAGCCAGCCCATTAACCCATGTTCTGCTAGCCAGCTAAGCTAAAGCTTGCCATCGACCGCTTCGTTTGGAAGTAAGCGCATCTGCCCACCTATCCATCAACCAAGAGAGAAGGGAATGACCAACCAAGCGAGCAGAGCCCAACTACCAATCCTGGAACTGGTGGCAATCTAACGAATCCGGGAAAGGAAGTGACCTCGCCGGAGCCTTCATTCGTCCTCCTCCGAACCCCATCCCTATGACTCAAGATCTGTAGCGCCATCGAGGCGTAGCGAGACAATGAGTTCTGTTCCTCCAACCTTCTCATCCAAGTTCTTCTTCTTCACCAGGCCATAGCACTAAAGATCCCTCGTCTCCTCCTTCCTATCGAGACCCCATCTCCTGCACCTGCTAAGCAAGATCTTTCATCTTCCACTACCAAGCATCTCTATCTCCATTTCTTTGTTCCGATGTCTATCCTGCGGACTTCCCATATCTAGATCCCTGGGATGCAATGAGGCAAATCCAAGTCTTTCTTCCCCTGGGTCCTCGTAGGCGAAAGAAAGAAGAAAATTGGGGCGGCCCAACTGATAGCTAGAAATTCTTCCCCATGACCAGCTAACCCGCTAAGGGACGGAGGTTAGCCCATATCTGGATATCCAAGCGGGTAAGAAGCACCATCTTCTCTCTTTCCATTCCCATCGGGAGTACCAAAACAAGATCTTTCCAGGTCTCCCGAACCAGCTCTGAGGAACCAATCCATTTCGTCCCTAGCCATCAGACTATCCATATCAAGATATGTGGCCATGAAATAGGGATTAAGTGGAACAGAAGGGTGGTAGAGTCGTGGAAACACCTCCTTCTTCCATATTTTGGACACGGAACATACTGCTGAAACATGGAAGAATTTAAATCTTAGATCAAAACACTATGTATGGATGGTATGAACTGCCTAAACAAGAATTCTTGAACAGCGAGCAAGCAGAGCTATTACTCACTACATAAAAAAATTTTTCTTAATGAAAGATGTCAATCCATTGGAAAAATAAAAAATACGTATGTCGGATGAAATGGTGGTTGTTGCTATCTGCTCCAATAACGAATCGTTGGTTTAACTGAATAACTAAATAAAATAGATAGACCCTTCTCTTCGTCTCAGGTCGATGGATCTTCTCAATTGGAAGATCCCCTATATGGATAATATACACATTCCAGTTGACCGGGCCTAATTCTTTTGTTCCGAAGCAAAGATATCCACGGGGCGGTTCGTCCTATTCAGATATTCACGACCAAGAAGTACTGGATTCTCTTTCGGATAGGCCCTGAAAGGAGAAAGAGAAGGAAGGCTGGAATGCCAACAGACGTCTATTATTGAATTCACCCGACCCGATAGTACCCATTTTATTTTGGGAACATCCAGTGCCAAAGTCACTGAATGGGTAAGTCGCCAATCCCTAAAACGGACTATGTACTGTACTTTATCACCTCTATTCTTTATAGAGGTATAAAGCGCATGAGCTTGAGCTGTCTCAAAAATGTTGCAATGATTTCGCTCAGCTACTTCGTTATGTTCGGAAGTATGCGGGCCGATGAAGAATGCGTCGAAAAGGACACAAGACCCTGGAAAGCAAGCAAAGGAGCGAAAGGGTGGGAGGCATGGCGTATACCCTATTCTAAAGACCGCTCTTAGAAAGCTCTTTTTCTAGTTAAAGAAAATAAGTACTGCTTGGTCTCAGTTAACCGGTTGGAGGGTTTTGACCTCGGCAAGCCGGCCTTCATGTGGTCACCATGAGGGATGATTACCGAAGCAATCAGCGGTAGCTAGCCACTCCGTTCTCTTATCAGCTATACGACTGATACAGTTAGACTAAGGTATAGCTGATAGTGACTTGGCCTAATACGAAAAACCCGTGGGACAAGACTTTCCTCTGTTAGTAAAGGGTCCAACGTGCCGGTCATAAGATGGCTTCCGAAGCTCTGACCAAAGAACCCGATTAAAAATGAAGGGATTCGATCTGCGCTGGGATTTTTCCAAAATGGCACTCTAACTAGGCGAGATGTTCAGGAGCCAGAGCCTCTTAGGCTTAGGAGGTCGTCAATGAAGCTCAGCCGAACTTCCTTAAGAGAAAGAGGAAATCACCGCTTGGTTGTTTACCAACGGAAAGCATGGGAAAAAGACCAAAGATATCATACGCTCTCTTCGGAGAGCGGCATACCGAAAAAAAGAAAAGGGTTATCGGATTGGAAGCGATGACTTAAGCCCCTTAGGGCCGAGCGTGAAAGATGAGAAAAAATTACCCCTTCTTTGGCCATGGCCTTCCCTTCCTTTGACCAAGGGGCCCTCGAACCACCCTCGCCTATGAAATGGATAACCCGTCCTGCCATAGCAGCAGGATTTTCAGGGCTTCTGTTATTATCTCATTAGATGGGCCCTTTTCCATTAATATGAAATAGGCGTTGGCGAGAATGTCGATATCGGTCAAATCCGGACTGATCGTCCTTGAAATGACAGTCCTCGCAAGCTCCACCCAGGAGTGCCCCCCTGGAAGTGATTCAATGCCTTGCTGGTCAAAAAATCGAAATTAGAGGATACTCGAAATTTCGTCGATATATCGATCGGCATTCCAGGAGTAGACATTCTCATTTGGAAGATGAATGCCCAGTTCTTCGCCATATTCCCTGACGCGACGGGGAACGGGCCCCTGAGCCTGCTAACTCAACTCTTCTTTCTTAGCAATGATCTGTTATCAATGAATTTCTTCCTTACCGGAATTCGGAGATAGGACTTTTCCGGGTATTTGACTTCAGCTTAGCTGCTTAGCGAATGCCCTTGTGATGAATGAAGTATCCTCCCTTCTACTTCCCCTTGTCGCTTCCATTGGGATTCGTTCACAGCGATAGATCACACCGGCAACAAGAGCCTCTTTATAGTCCTACTCCTCTTCCAAAAAGACTAGCTGCCCTTCTTCCTTCTACGCCGTCCATTATTTGTTTCACTGACTCAGGCATTTTCTCAGGAGCCGAATCTGAGCTGAGAGATGCTAGGCTAGGTCTCGTCTAAGCCCTTGTCCCTCTAGAGAAAAATGTAAAACGGTGCTAAAGCAGGACCCGTGACTATGAAAAATGACTGCTCAATCGAAACTTGAGTCACCTTGGAGTAAGTCAAGCCACATACTCAACAACGTCTCTGTCTGAACTGTGAAATCCCTAAATCGAAACACACTAGAATAACTTCAAACACTGGATCTGCAGATCTACGTGTATTCCAAAAATCTGGTGAGATTTTTTGTGCATTCGGATTTCGGTCACCCGAAAAGAGGTCTAGTCCTGTCTGCTGAACGGTCCCGGAAAGGATGAGAAAAAGCTCTTCCGAATCCAGGTTCAAACTTTCAAGCAGTCAATCAAGCAGCACTGACCATTATTCCATAGATAGCATAGAGCTCTTACAATAGGCTAGCTTAACTATAAAGGCTGGATTTCCCCCTGGGAGAAGTGGAATCGAAATCTCTGTCACTCAAAGCTTCGCCCCTTGAATCTATTTATTCCGGCTACAGAGCAAGGCAAGGTATATGCCAGTTTGCTTAAGACTTGGAGTTCGAAGTGGAATGGATCTAATTCGATGAATTAGCCTCCTAAGGCAATTGCCCACTAATCCTCATCGCTGTCCTGAGCCTTATTTTCACACTTATTATAGAATCCCGATCTGGGAAGAAAAGCTATTCTTCTTAGCAGTTGAAGAAGTGAATTGAATCACCCTCGGGTCCGAGAATACTAAGCAGACTTTAACTCCTCCCTTATAGTAGCAATTCTGACAACAGATGCGGATTTGGGCAGTGCCCACTCCTCTAATGTAGCACAGATGGTACATTAAACAACCTTCGGCGGCACCTCCCCTTAATAATAAGAACCATTTTCATCATGACAGCACAATACTCATCATCCATTAGGAAAGATCTTCGAATTAGACTACTAAGTTCTTCTTTGGTGAAGGCGAAAGCCCCTACCCTAGGAGGATAGCCATGTTCATATACAGTTCTCTCTGAGACAAGAGCAGAACATAATCTTGCCTTTATTATTGATCTTGATATACATATTGGCAGCTCAGTTATAGATAGGGGGAACTCTTTCTAAAGTAAAAAGATTCACGGGAATAGAAGGAATGAAGGACAGCTACTCCTCTATGCTTACTACGAGCTATACCACGAGTCAAGCTAACTGCAATAATGAAAGTTGCAGTGGATAAGAGAAGACCGGAGCTTGCCATTCGTGCAGCGCTTATTTAAACACTAGCTGAAAGACATTCTAAAATCACTCTCTCTCCCATGACCCATAGCCAACTAGGAGAAGAAAGCCAGTTTATTCCCTTGAGGCTTGAGCCAGGTATTCGTTTAAAGCCTTTCGCTAGCATTACAACAGAATCAATGGCATCAGATTCATTAGCTGCGGACGCATAGGAATGAATTCTTCCCGTACTCTCTTTGTCAAGCCACCGGCTCCACTAAAGCAGCAAGACTTAGACTTAGCTTAGCCTAGCTAGCACAGACAGAAGGGAAAGCGAACCCGACTGATGAAGTCGAATGCTCCCACCCGATTCTTCTTGGCTTGACCACTCTCTTAAGCTTTCCCCCATCGAGAAAGAAAAATCCTATGTGAATCCTTACCTCTCACCTCTCCTCTCTACTCATAGCAGACAATCATAGACTTTCAATCGAGTGAATACCCGGCTAGCTCGGATCTAGGTCTATTGTAAAGCTTTCGCTTCGCCCCTTAGTCCAGAGCGATCGCGGGACACGGAATAAGCCTACACATCGGTTTCTCCGAGGCGCATGCAGCTTTCATATCTGCACTCCATAATCTCGTAGAGTAAGATGTCCGGTTTACTCCCTATGATCCCGAGACCCGGCTCACCAAGGAGTTTTTTGGGATAGCGGTTGGATCTCAAGATCCTGGCGGATCGACAGATCGCGACCCGAGCTCACCGCTGGAGCCGAGTTATGAGCCCTGACACAACGGCTCTCGAATTAACAGCGCGGTTACATAGAATGAAGTCGACCGGGGCTCCCGAAGCCTGCCATGTCTGTCCGCCATTGCAAAGGCGTCGAGCAATGCCCAGGAGCCTATCCCTGGCCTCAGGTCATGGAATGAGTAACTTCGTAAATCTGTGTAGTCGACAGAGGAATCGAACCCTTATTCTTTCACAGAGCGGTAAACAGCTCTGCGGTGCGTGCTATCTCCAGACCAGAAAGCTGTGCTTTGCGGTGCAGCTGAGAGGCGGAGCAGATTCCCGAATGTGCTTCATCTATGATGTATTCACCTTCTGCTCTATCGACACATCGAAGTAAGATGTCATCGAAGGATTTTCGGCAAAGAATTCCTCCCCTGGTTTTTTGAAAAATATCAAGTCTTGGTGGACCATAAGCGGGTAGCGAACCCCGGTTAGCTGTCGATGTGTGGCTAGTTCTGTTGAGCTTTGCTCCGCTTCTTAGCCCAGGTACAGTCTCTGACGATCTCATTCTCTCAGCGATCTATGCCACGTCGACCCCCTCTCTTAGACATGGCTTCGCGGAATGTGCTTTCGTCCTGTCTCCCAAGGGAAAGGGATATTCCGCACATGCTTTAGTTGAGCTGTGAGAAGGGTAGATTCTTCTTTTCTTGTTGGGGTGGAGTAGAGGTCATTCGGATCCTCACACCAGTAGGAAACTTTGTTTTTTGAGTACATTGAGATGGGGAGCTGTCTAAGAGGGGCCCTCTCTTTAGCCTATCTGTACTAATGCTAGCCAATCTCTTGCAATTGGTCTATGGCAAAGGGTCATATTCAAGATGTGAACAAATCGGATGTGCACATTCATGCAAGATCCGGTGCTCTCTTTGCACCTTCGGCTTCTTCCCCAGCTGCGGACCCGGAAATCACAGAATTCCTCAGACCTTCTCCCTTCTGCTTTCCTTCTTTCTGTTTTTGATTGAGTTTCGGGTTCTTTCTACGGATTCAAACCAGTTTTCTTTACGGATATGTAACCACTCTATGTATAATAAATTGCTTACATATAGAAAGAAAGGCATTAACCAGAGAACACTTTTGAGAAAGATAGCTAAAAAGGACTGGTTCTCGAGCTTCCTTAACCCACTACCGAATAGTTCGTTCAGAAAGCAAGGCCTCTCCTCTAGATCGCATTTAATTGGCTTTTCGGAAGCATGCAAAAGACCTCAAGTCTTCGCCTTTCCGCTTCAAGAAATGAGATTCCGACCAAAGCCCGAGGTAGAGCGTCGGTCGTCAGGGCAGCCTGCCTTCCTTTACTATATTTCGTACGTTTCGGATATAGCACGTCCCCCCTTTTTTTTACTATATGAAATCCACACTTTGACACCTGAGATTCCGTAACGAGTAGATACTTCCGCAGGAGCATAATCTCTTTTCTGGTGAAATACATTACAAGATGTTTTTCCATACTTTCCGCATTCAGTTTGCGCTATTTCTGCGCCTTTTAATCGACCTGAACAACATATACGGATCCCCTCTACCCCTTTATTCATTAATAATGAAATATCCTTCACTATTTGACTAAAAATGGAACGAAATTCGATTCTTTTGTTCCTCAGTTGAAAAGAGATGTCTTGAGCAATCAGAGAAGCACTTTGATAAACAGATTGAATCTTGACCGACTCAATTAAGGTATTAGTCTTTGTTCTATTAGACAACAAAGATCGCATTTTTTTCATTTCGTTCAAATAAGAGTTGTACCTGTACGGAATTCTTCTGTTTCTCAGTATGATTTCTATCATCATCTCTATTCCCTTTATCAATTCTCCTATCCCACCTAGGTTTATGAATTTATCTCTCAATTCCATTACCTTATCCTTACCCAAGAGGAAAAAACATTTTATCCTTAATTGACCTAGGAGTTGTTCCCGGGCATCCTTAAAAAAAAGGTTATTATACACCCCATCCCTTAGAAAGAAAAAGGTAGCACCGAAGAAAGGAAAGAGCGAGATGGTGGTTTTTGTTGTTCCCGCGAAGCGAAGATCATTCGCTTGGCGAATGAAGTGAGTCAACCTCTTTTTGGCTTCGGCCAAACACTTTTTCTCGCTGGTCAAGCTTTCTACAAAAAAGGCGATGCGAGAACGTATTCTCTTATCTAAGCTTCTTCCCTGTGCATTCGCTCCCCCCATCGTAAATGGTTCAGCCACGCCCGGTGACACGAAATGATTGAGAACTACGACGGGGTCGAAATGAATTTGGTTCTTTGTATTCAAAAAATATTGCATGACCAAATAATTCAAGGAGAGGCGCACTGCGGGGAGGGTCCTTTTACTTTTAAGTAGATGACTCGTCGGGCCGTCGGAGCGGGACTTCTTTGGGAAAAAGAAATGGAATAACTTCGTTTTTCTGAAGGAGTCGTCATTTTCTATCAGGAAGGATATGTCATTTACAACCCCGGCGTCTTTCGGATGCTTGAAGGCCCCGCTGACCAGAAGTAATTTAGAAAGATTCTTCTTTCTCGATGGTGATCGGTCATGGTATCCATAGCCTTCCTTCTTTTTCGGCCAAATCCTTCTTTCGTTTTCCTTCTCCCGGTCGTCGAGCCTGATCGACTCGACTCTTTTCCCTGCCCCCCGGCCTCTCACTTTGTTTCGTTCTTCTTCTGTATTGTCGCTTGAATGAAGACACCTGATCGGCCCCACTTTCCCGAATGGCCACCACCGGCCCTTCTCCTTTCCGGGTCTGGTTTTTTTGCGTTGGGGAAGAAAAAAATGAATGAATGTTCTTTTGGAAAAATGTAGAATAATACACCTACCGAGACTCACCTTTGGCTTTCGTCTCGTAGGTGGACGTATCGAACCGAAATAAGATCTCAGATTGACATTTTGATACACTAATTTACCATAATAATAAATAGAGTCAATGGTGACTCCGCCGTGGAAAGAGCCGCTTCTTTCTTGCTTGATAGGGGGGCTTCCATTCACCAGCGCAGACTAAAAAAAAGTGCTCTCCGAACCGTGCTGGATAGTCACCTATCACACGGCTCTCACTCAAACCCAACCTGTGGTGGATCCCGGGGGACAAAGTCAAAGCGCTTGATCCTTCCTTTGCCCCATACTATACTTGGAGATGCTCCTCACCGCCGATCAAGCAGCGACGCTGCTCTAGGCTTAGCTTTAAGCCGCTATCGTTCGGTTTGGATAAGTCAAGTCCCTTCGGTCGGTTCGCTCAGGTGGTCTTCCCTTATCTTCCCTAACGTTCAGAGTTGTTCTGGTTTGAGAAAGGAGCACCGGCCGAGCACCCTGAATGAATAAGAAATGGACAGCAGAGGGTGCCGCAGGCACGGTTCTTATTCAACCGAGTTGAAGCTAGCAAGATGTCGATTACACACCGGAGGTTGGTAAGAACTGAGGGACAATGCCCCCCTAACCTAAGTGGGCCTACCAGCGAAGCAACTGGTACTTGATCGGGCGGGGGGCGGTTTGGTTTCGTGCAACGCCCTCGCGACGGGAAGAGGCGGCACTTTGATGGTTTGAATTGGAACTTCTAAAGAAGTGGTGGAGTCCGGTTTTAGTGAAAGGACGAATCGGACGGAAAGATGCGATCGTTAGAGATTCAAGATTCCCGGTTGGACCTATTCAAGCGATTGAACGAGATACTCGACAACTTGGTACTGCTGATTCGGAATCACGCTCTGTAGGATTTGAACCTACGACATCGGGTTTTGGAGACCCACGTTCTACCGAACTGAACTAAGAGCGTTTTCTTATCACAGTAGATACGACTGTAAAGAAAAAAGGATGATTTTCTTACTTACCCCAAATACATCTTGTATGCATATAGTCTCATTAAAAAAAAGATTTTGTATGTCCAATTTGAATTGATCTTAATGGATTCCTCGTTACTGCCCAGAGGAGAAGTAATAGGTAGGGATGACGGGATTGGAACCCGTGACATTTTGTACCCAAAACAAGGGCGCTACCAAGCTGCGCTACATCCCTTTCAATTGGTCTACGGGTGTCATTGTAGAGAATACCTGCCCTGTTTTCCACATGGTTATTTCCTCTATCGAAATAAAATGTCTCTTGCCATTTCTTCTTTTTGGTCTTTTTTGTTTATATACTCATCATCATCCCGCCGTTCCTACCAACCAACGCTTACTTATATGATATGAGAAAAAGAAAAAAAAGGGTTATTTAGAAATAATCAGCCCTTTGAATAAGCTCGGTTCCGCCCATTCCCGCTAGAAATAGTTGCATGCGAGAGAGATCCCAATTCTGTGTATGCGGCAAGCCCTTCCGCCAGCTGAGTCTTACAGCAGGAGTTCTACTAGAAACTCGCTCTGACTTTCATTCTTAGACCAAGGTCTTCCCCACCCCTAAACGGGGAACAGGCAACAATCCCCTTATGATTGCCAGCACTTCCATCTTCTTAGGATAACCCTCAGCCCCCTAAGAACAAGAAAAGACCTGCTACCCCATCTTCCACGAAAAGAGAGTATGATGGACTTTATAGACAAAGAAGTTCAGCTGCCAGAGTCGATCCTATCCCGTATTTACCAGCAAAAAAAGAGGGGATGTTCTTCCTTGTGCCTTCCCATTCCCCTATCCCGTGGTAGCCCTTAAAGGTATTGTGTTAAGGCGAATTGGCAGCTTGCCATTCTTTCGATTCCTTGCAAGCCTCATTGTCAGGTACAGTCAAACTGGCCCCAAGGGCGGAATTCCTTCTTTCAATCTTTGGCATCAGTCCATTTTGTCCCTTACCCTTAGCTCTTCTTTCCTTGAAACTTTCATTTCCGCAAGTTAAGAAGAAACCGATTCCTCAACAGAGGAGTAGAAGAAGGTAGAGGTACAGCGGGCAGGCTTTCCGACTAATGATAAGAACGGATCAGAGACCAGTTTCAAGATACGAGGCTCTGGAAGAGGGAAGAGAACAACCAACCACCTTCCTCCGTAATTGTTGCAGGCACTGGGCTCCAATCTGAGCCCTTTGGAAGATTGGATGTGTTTGGAGTGCCCTTCGCCACCAGATGAATAATTAGCAGGAGATGGGGTCTCGATAAGAGGTTTCGAAAGGGATTAGTTCATTCGCAGGAATGGTCTCGTAGATGGCTTATCTTCCCTCGGATGGAGCTTCTTACCTGTAGTTGGAGATGCAATATATGGGGTTCCGAGCTAGGGGAGAGATCAGCATCGATAGGACATGGAGATGTGGGCTCAGAAGGGAGTGGAATAGAGGGTCCGAAGGAGATAGCTTAGATGCCGCCACTGGGGGTTCACTTGCTTACCTTGTCGGGTCACCTGGAGAGGTCGGTCGAAGGTTGCATTGGATTCCAGGACGGAGAAGCAGAGTTTGCTAGTTAGCTTTCCTTCATCACAGGGGTTTCGTAACCAGATTCTTATCTATCACTTATCGAGGGATCAGTTCCCAATTAGACTAAAACAGGGGAGCAAGCAAAGCTAGTCCCTCCATAAGTCTCGTTTAGTTCATCGTAGGATTTCAGGTATATCAGAAACTAAACCCTAGCCCTAGTTAGTAGTAAGAAGTCATAAGGAATGAAACCTTACTTGCTATTGTCCCCTCTAATTCCAAATCTCAAGCAAGCTACTGACTAATAATATAAGTTGATGCAATCGGACTGAGGCAATTAAATTATTCACCAGAGTATGGGAGGAGTACGGCTTTTCTTATGATTATAGGGCCAATGGTAAACGCTTTTTTCTTTCCTGGGAGTGAACTAAGCATCGATCGGAACGCCTAGTGCTTAGCCTCTCTTCCTTCCGCTTTGCCCACTTTCTCGGCTCGGAATAGGTACAAGAAAGCACGTCACAAGCTCCCTCGTTTCGTTAGCATGCCGAAGTGGGTAAAGCTTGGACTCTGACTTTTGCCTATCGCTCTTCTTCACCACTCGTTAAGAACATCCTTTAAGTGGTACTGACGCATGAACTTGACTCAGTTCTTCCCTGCCACTGCTTTTACGCTATCCAACTGATTCCGAAGAAAGAGGAAAGATGTCCAATCGGAAAGTGGTAAGCATATAGCATAAGTCTCATTTGGAAGTGAATCCTTCCTAAGCGCTTTGCTTTCACAGAGACAGACCATTCTATACGAAAAACCCTGGGGTTGGATGAAGTGAGAGCTAGGAATCTTTGGTCTTATCCTTCTTCCCTTTGACTCAAGTTGGTAAGGGAAAAATCCCAATATACTGCTATTCCATTTGAATAATCTACCATGCTTGCCCTTCAAACCAAAATCTAGAGTAGTCTGACTAACATAGATTAACCATTTGCTTTCTTTTGTCTTCTACTTCAATCCAATACCGACATCAGCCGCCTCAAATCTTCAGGCTTACCCGCAATCAACAATTAGTTGAAGTGAAAAGTTTTCGTCTCCGAAAGAACCTGTTCGTTACCCAAACCGAACATTCTTCCCGAGAGCCCTAGTGCGACTGTGCTTGCCTGCCGGACGGAACTCTTTCTATCAAAGAAAGAATATACTACTTAACAACCGGAACGCCTTTGTGAAGTCTAGCTCTGTTCTATGCCCGCCCCTAAAGAGAAATGCTTTATATGATCTTCTTCTTTCTAGGGCGCTTACTTTTTTTGCAGGCAGGACAGGATCTGAAAAGACTAGCTGGACCCGGTTCTGACTAATCCCTAAGAGCTCATCGCGAGTTCTCTCGGGACGGGACCCTCAGTAGGGCATTCAGTACGAAGTAAGCCAATCCTGATAATGCGGCCTAAAGCCTATACTAGAAGTAAAGAACTGATGACTCGCATCCTTCTTGTGAGACTTTCCTATTAACTTATCTCCTCATTCGCGGAGCACGAAATTATGTTCCTCCCCTTATCCAGTAGTGGAAAGGGCATACCTTGAATACAGATCAAGATTCACTCTGGCACTGACTTAGGAAAGTACTTGCTGAAATGAAAGTACCAAGGAAAGAAGAGCGGGAAGATCTCTATGAAAGAGAAAAGAGCCCCAAGCACAGCACAAAACAAAAGGAACTTGACAATCGGATCTTGCAAGCTACTAGGTCAGTTTCTAAATCGACTTTTGTGCACAGAGTTATTATCAAATCGGATCCGGATCTTGTCTCTTTCCTGGTGGATGCATGGGCTATTCTACAGTGAGTGTCTAACTAATAGAAAGAGGGGATTGATTCAAAGTGTCTAGGTACCAAGAGAGAAGTACTTAACCTGGAAAGATCCGATCTACGAATTTAGATGATAATGTGCTAATGGCAGCGATATGCCTAACCCTTACTACTCCTACTGAGATCCGATTCTGGGCATACTCCTACTATACTAGGCCTAGGCTAGGATATTTCATCCTCAGGGCTTGCATTATATATAGGTACTCGGCAGCTTTTCAGTTAGTTTGCTGAGTCTCGCTATCTGGCTGGAAAAGGAGGCAGGAGCTTTTTCTTGACTAATGGGCGAGGTCCCAAGAGGAAAAAGGTTGCTCCGCTTCCGTTAGTTATTTTAGAGGCCAATGTAAAGATAAACCGACGTTTCACCAGTCTCATGGGTGTTGATACCTTTAGCTTGTCTATCCTTACTTTTTAGAAGAAAATCTGAGTCTGGTGCCGCTCGACCTCTAGATTGAGGGAAGATC